TAAAATCCCTATAGGATTAAAAAGATAATTTCATAGGATTAAAAATCAAAAAAAATTATTAAAGTAACATGATCAAATGTTTTACTTTCATAAATATAAAGATCTTAATGTAAATTAAAATATTAAAATAAATAATTACAAAGATTAATCTATAATTAGCTCGATCCACAAAGCCATCAGAGAGCATTAGAAGAGCCTGTTTGAATGATCTAATTGGCCATGTGCTTGTGAAGCAAACCATCAAGCTGTCTACAATTGACAACCTTAGAACCTAATGATGAAAATAATAACTATGCGTATTCTTTTATAAGTTTTGGTGCCGTGAACATTGTTGATGTAATGTTCTATTTCCTAGCAAAACTGCATCCAAATTATGCAAGTTCTTGCACAGTAGAAACTGTGACTGGGTGGACAAGAACACAGTCAAGCTGCATAAAAGAAAAAGTTACTGCAAGTCCACGAAGAACATGAAGAAGCCTATTCAAACTTAACAATGTTTCACTACTACGCAGAATTCCATGAAGATGAAGTTACTGCATGTCCATGAAGAACACGAAGAAGACTATTCAAACTTACAATGTTTTACTGCTACGCAGAATTCCATGAAGATAGCCACCGGCCATTATCAAGGACACAAGAGAAACGACACCTGCAGGGAATACCTTTCCAGACTTCTTGTAGCGAGACCCCATTGCAGCTAGAAGAGTCACAGACGTACCTGATAAGTAAAACAGGCAGGTTAAGCATAAGGAGAAGGGGGAAAAAGATATAGCCGGCGTTGAGCAGAATAGCCATGGTAGAACTGGTTAGAATCATACCTAACCCCAGGGATGATGCGTATAAAGGTCGTTCTGGAAGCTGGGTGTACACGTGACACAATAACGCAGCCGATACCCCTCCAGCAACTAATGACTTCTGGCTGCCGCTCTTCACAAATCCCATTACACCGCCAGCTACAAGGATGCCAATGGGAGAAAAGAAATGTTTAGCCTTCCAATGGAGGAATGCTTGTTTCAAACACAAGCAATAATGCAGCAGAAAAGGAAAGCTGCTGTGGTTTACATGTCTTATGGGGATAGGAATGTCCATAACCCTGGTGGCTCCATACAAGATATGAAGTCCAACCTAAAATTTTGGATCCATTAACATTACAGGATCAAGTATGGATCCTAGATCTTACCCAATGATACATAAATTGGAATGTCCTATCTGAATCTTAGGTACGGGTCCTCATTTTGGATCCATAAGCTTATCAGATTCAGACCCCAAATGGATTTTGAGTTGAGTATGGCCCGAAAACATCCATATTTATAAATGGCAAAAAGTATGTTTCACAAAAACAAATTGCTTACGAAACTCAGAAACAATAATGAGCACATATAACTTGCAGGGATGGACAATATGACCAAAATATGATTTCTTGGTGACGTTGAAGTACCGAAATAAAGAGAAAAACATCTACACGAGTTGGTAATGAGACATGCATCTTTCAACGTGTGTGTCTTCCCGTTACACTTAAGTCATGTCAGAAAAAAGACCAATGTTAAGATTAGATGTCTGGATATGTACAATGTTTGGGTTAGTCCTCAAAAGGTAATGCATGCTCAGGAAGATTATTTGTAGACTACACATCATATCAAATATGTATCAATACACAGCTTTTTCAGAGTAAGGGTTGTCAACATTTTGAATCTGCTCAGGTTGAGATACCATATGTCAGGCAAACATTTCTTTACCCAAAATACTTGTCATAAATCTCTGCAATTCAAACAGAGTGCAGCCTCTGCTAAATGCACAAAAAGTAGGCTCAAGAGACACTTTTTATTGATTTATTAGCTCATGATAATAGCCTATTCTCACTATTATCTTTTTTTTTCCAGCTATGTATGATGGTTCTTAACAGAGTACTTAAATGCAATAATTACTTATGAGAACTTAAAATGGAAAGTGAGAAATGAGTGCCACATCTGTACAGATAGATATACAAAAGCCTTTCATAACTAGACTCAGAGGATACATGCACCAAGATACAAAAACGATGCTGAGAGTCGCCAGTGTTAGGTCATAACAATGGAGATGTTCATACTTCCTAATACTCTTCCCTCAGAGATTCACCTTTTCCTCCATCTCTAAATCAATTCAAGACTACTACGCCAACACATGATACCGTCATTTAGATATTGCTGCTGCATTAACATCATTAACAAATTTTAGCTGACTTAGAACTATATTCATATAACTAAAAAGATAATGTACCAGCACTTACTAGGAGTTCTTTGTTGAATGAACATCTAGTCTTTAGTGACAACCAATACAAAGTTAGTAACAAGCATCTTATCACTTATCTTAATGTCAAGCTTAAGCAGCCAAACCTGCACTAGTAAGCAAAAAACAGCCTTACAAACGGCACTGCACAGATGATCCTTCCCACTAGGTCCTTTGTAATTGTTCCAAATTACACCACATGCAGACAAAACTATCAGGGGAAAAAGTCAGTTTTGTCAAGGGGGATTGCTAGTATATCCTATGAAGGTTAATGAAATTAAAAGAGTAGCTCTTCAGCACAACTAAAACTTAATAAAATTGTGCACCAGCTGAGCAAAGACAATAGGGCTACATTTCTGCTGCATAAGCCGATGAATAAATTGCATTATTTTTCTATGTGGATAATCAAGCAATTGATTTTACCATATACTAGAGTTGTTGTCTACCAAAAATGACACAATAGCACCATTCTGAGTTTTACAAAGAATATTTTCACAACAAGATGACTGTTGTTTTCTGGTCTACAATATCTAAACTCAATATTTTTTATTATATCAGATTCTAGAACATAAAAAAACATGGGGTGTTCACATGGGTTCCACCAAGAAATGTTTGGCTCATGGTATTGACCTCGAATCCTTTTGCCGTAAGAAGGTGTGTCCACTAGATTCTAGTGCAGAGATAAGATTAGGACATGTTATTCGACAAAAATGATCCGATTAACAAGGTCATACACAGAACTCGATGGGAACGATAAAGGACATGAGTCATTTGCTCGGGAACAAAGTGGGCCAGTGTGTAAAGGAAAACTCCACCAGATTGGATAAAGGTTTTACGAAGGATGCCCTAATTGAGGGCAACTACAGCACCAAGTAATGAAATATCAGACAGATCATAACTGATGGGCTAAGTTTACTGTCAGAACAGATCAAGGGAATCGGATTACCTCCGAGGAGGGCAGCATAACCCAGCGTTAGCAGCTGAGACGTGGACTTATCCATCTTCTACTTATCCTCGTTGCACCAATTTCACCGTCGCCTCCACCTCCTGGACCACCCGATCAGAGGCGGCGATGAGACAGACGCTCCCGCCAACGATCGGGCAAAGGACAGGGGATGAGGAAGGGGGGTAGGCGGCGGGCGGATCAACCGGCGAAGGTCGCCCGTGGCGGAGAGACGATTTAAGGGCGAAAGAAGAGTCCAGAATATTGATTAACATTTTAAAGGACACAGTCAAAGAGTCCTCATTGTCTCACCTGCCCCGTAGTTGGACGCTGATCGACCAGTCCGTGGAGCCTATGGGAATACTTCAGCTACAGTTTCAGTTGGGCCCCACCGATTTGATTTCCGAAGTCAGAGATGGAAAATGTTTTCCTTCAAAAGTAATTATAGTTTATCCGATCTGAAAATAAAATAATAGTGTTGATCATGACTTTTTGGGATTTGTTTGTTTTGAAGAGAGGAGAAAAAGAAAAGTAAAAGGCATTCTATTAGTGTACAAAAGTGAATAATGTTTTGAAATGTAGGAAAAAAGAAATATAGTATACTAAATAATATTACATGATTAAGTCATAAAAGGGAGATTCAAGAAATTTTCTTTCTAATTAAAATAAATAAATTATAGAAAACAAATAACTTTTTCTTAAAAGAATAATTTCTCATACTAATATACTAAATCACTAAGGTTTATTTTAACATATGTTGTTTTACATACTAATAATCTTTATATTTTCTATGTGCATGACATAATAACTCATAATAAATTATTAATATAATTATATATATAATTTAAATTTAAAAAATAATTAAGATCCATTTTAGCCTCTACGATTTTTACCATGGACCACTTAAACATTTATGATTTGTTCGCGTCTAAAATAATTTATATATTTTCAGCGTTAGAGAGGCTACGTGTGTATGATGCCTTGTTAGACAGTAGTAGCTCGGTGCTATTGTTGATGGTCACTTCCACGATGACGCCTCCTCTCATCATTGATGATGGTCATACTTTTTTTTAGTTTAAATTACATATGTCATTATATTAATGATTTATTATGAGTTAGTATGTCATTCTAATACTTATTAATTCAGTTTTAATGGGAGAGACTAATGTGCTATATTTTTTAAAATATATAAATTATTTTTTATATGAATAAATCATAAATACTTAAGGTCCATGGGCAAAACCACATAGGCTAAAATGAATCTTAACCATATTTTAAATTTAAATTATATGTATTATTATATTAATAATTTAGTCATGTAAATAGATTCTAGCGTCTGTTAACTCAGATTTGACGAGAGAAATTTTTGATATATTTTTAAAAATATATCATATAAATTAGACAGACTCATAATTAATGATATATTTTTAAAAATATAGAGATTAGTTTAAAGAGAAGTAAATTATAAATGCTTAAGTGGTCAATGACCAAAATGATTAAAATGAGCCTTAATCTTTTTTTTTTCATGAAATTTCTTATGCAACTAAACATACTCTTAACTATGAATTTAATTAGGATACTTATTGCTACTGATCAGAAGTGACTCAGAATTAGAGGTACAACACCCAATCTGAGGGCCTTTCCAACTGAGATCTCTTCAGGATCAGCTCACACAATCCAGGTTCATGTTGAAAGCCATCCACAGTTAGCATTCATCAACTACATAAGATAGCATCACTGAGATCAGCACAATGGTTATCTGAACCACACAAAACATTAAGGACAACAAGATGAACAATGTCTTCCCCTTTATTGGATTCAGAGGTCTCACAAAATGATTATCTATGAACAATCAAAAAGATGAGTACAAAACAAAATAAAAAAAAATTGACAAGAATGGTTCCGCAGATCAAGACACAACCTTCTGGCAATCTTGCAAAGTTGCTGATAAAAAAAAAGTCACGGATCCAAAATTAACAAATCATTTACAGAGGTTGTACCTACCAACTTCCATATCACTGTGCATAGCTCTTCACTGGCTTTCATTATCCACACTTAAATATTCACCAGTTTATGCACCCGAAGGTCGATAGGAATCTCCAATGGAATTATATCTGTTGTTAGATTTGGAAAGAAAAAAATCATACAAATTCAGAATTAGATGACTCGTCGTTGGCTGATTCTGAGCAATCCAGTGGTCAGATCTCAGGAAGTCTTGTCCGGCAAGAAAAGGTACCGAAATCTTGAATCAAATGGGATGATGCTAAAACTCCGAACACCAAGTAACCTCTGCTTCCACTGTGGTTTAGAATAGTGAACTATAGTTATTTGATCCGAGGAAAGGTAGCGACAGATCCAGTCAACCAGCAGCGAGTCCTCCACAACACCCTTGGCAAACGAATGCAGCATCTCTGGAACTAACAGCTTCCCCTTATCGTTTAAACCTATCGATGCTCGTATGTAGTCCTTCATGGAGTTTTGTAGCTCATCTTGAACAGTATCAGCAGTGAAGATTCTCACCTGCATCAAATGGAATCATGTTTGTAGGAGTACAAAGGCAACAAATCACCATGAGCTGAAACTTGCATCACCTCCAGCTTTGAAAAGAACCATAGATATCAAGCATAAGGTTTATGAGTGATCTTCTACTTGAAATGATCTAAGAATTTGAAGAAGAGAAACAATGCTTTTTTGTAAGTTCATTGTAAGTCACGAACAGTCAAACTCAAGGAAATTTTATCGAACTAGACCAGAAATCCATAAATAAGTAAACCATAGTATATGAGTTTCTAATTTCTGAAAAGAATTCCTCAGCAGCATTTCATAATTTTTAATTGAAGGGCTTAAAAGCATGCAACTAATACTGGAATAGCTTTCAGCTTCAGGCACATCAATGCATCTTCTACTCAAAGAAGTCAACAGTGAAGTTAGACTAATTTAATTTTACTAGAACAGCTTTCAGCTTCAGACAATTAACATTACTCCTATGCCACCAAATATACACTCTAAAAGCAGTAAATTGTAAGAGCTATTTAACTCACTGCAGGTGAAGAATACATTCCGCAACTAAGGGCAAATACTACCAGGGGCTCGGCGCTGTCAACCGAGTACTCTCGGTGCTCCTTAGAAATCTTAAATTTGTGAAGTGCCAGAGATTGAGCCTGAAAAAAGTGCATCAAACGAGATCTATGATGAAAGAAAAGCATACAAAAAGACAATAGGACTGTATACCACATACTAATTGTGGACGATGCATTGGTGGTTTCATCTTCAGAATGACAAATTCAATCTCAGCTGCACTAAATGACTGACCACCTATAGTGTAAGATGCCTGAGGCAAATAACACAATTGTAACAGCATATATCACACCGTCAACACAATGGTCACAGAAAGTTACTAGATAAAACCTTTTGCATTTGAGAAAATAACTTGATGTCACTTCTAGGAACTCCAAATGCCAAATAGGCCTGACAGTTAAAGCAGAGAGGTTGTATCACAAACAACATGAAGAAAAAATATTTCAAGAATATTAATTTCTTTACTGAAAGCAAAATGCAGCACGCATCGAATTTTATTGAGATAAGAAAAAATGATGAATAAGAAAACCATGGTTTTGAATAGTGGTCCAGCTTACTGGTTTGACAAATCATCATTATGGATAATTCCATTTGGTATCACTTAATGTACCACTCATATCTATTTTCATTTTGTTTTACAGAGTTATTGGATGGTACACATCAACAAATGAATCAAGAATCATTTGTTGTCTTATCATGAAAAGAAAAGGTAAGAACCTGTAGTGTTTGCAAGGGACTTCATCAAATTTATAAGCAAGGGATGCTTTAATTTACAGGCACTAAATTATCTAAATGCAGAGATGTACTGAATTGGTTGTTAAATTGATGTTGAAACCAATTTTCTCTTTAGAGCATAATACATTAGTATTCAACATGAGACAATAGAACAGGAACAAATTAGTTCTAAACTTACATGCATCATTAAGGCATTATAAACATTGATCCAAAAGGCAAGCTTCTGATTGAGACTCATACAAGCTGGATTCACCTCTGTCAACTGCTCCACAAAAAACCTGAAGTGGTAGAGTTAGAAGTAATAAGTTGCCGTCCCACACTAAACATTGTACCATCTTTTTGAAAATATAAATGTGAGTACAAGACAATCCCAAAAAGTTTTTTATTTGATAAAGAAACTAGCAAAGATCAAACATGTCTGGTTGGTGTGCTGATTTTGAAAACTTGGTCATCCGTACCACACTAACATAAATAAGCTTTCAGGTTCCAGTTAGGCTCAAAAAAATGATATAAAAACATCACCCAAAATCCTCAAGGAAAGTCGATTGACCTTGTGGTTTTGAATTTCAACTGTAAATCAAGCCAGGGTAACCGGAAAGCAATACACCAACCAAAAATCTTAATAGACTTGATAAATTGCCCCTCATGCAGTCCTCCATCATCATCAGTTGTGATGCATCTTACTGTGGCCCCCTGACACCCTCAACTTCCCTCTATTATCTCTCTTTCTCCATCTCTTATTCTCAATCAACAGCACATTGTTTTGTAAATTAAAATTGCAGCAGTTCAAATTGATCTAAAAATCTGCTGCTGACATGATGTTCAAAAATTCCATATTTTGATTGACAGTAATCCTCACAACAGTGTAAATATGGTAAATATTGTAATTCATGTAATCAAACATGGATAATTTCTATAATTAAGTTGTGAAACTATAATGCAATTCAGATAGTAACTAGTACTTATAGCATAGAAATAAAGTTCCACATGAAGCTCCCCAAGACTAATCATAAGTAGTCTTATATGGATATTCTAATTAATGAATTATACATACAGACACACACAAAGAATTTAACATGTATATTTCCAAGTTGAAAGAGTATGACTTATAACTCATTTAACTACAATTGTACATGGAAAGCAGAAGTGTATGCCATGATACCTGTATCTTTTCAGACTCAGCAGCATATTGCAATTGTGCTTTTCCAACTGACATCCAAGAGACTTCAGCTGCCAAAATATAGCTTCCTACATTCCCCCAGTTCATTTTGTAACTAACTCCATATGGATCAAAGGAAGACATTTGTTTATCTACCTCATCAGTTTGGTAAATCCCTTCTGGACTTTGAAATAGTGAGGTCATTGTGGATGAGTCTGAGAAAGACATGAAAGAAGATGAAGATAGGTGCTCGACTGGGGAAGACTGAAAGCCCTCTGAAGAAGACATTTCTGGAGGGATGTCTGATGATCCAGATAGACAAAGAAAGATATTTCTCATGCATCGAACCATTTCTTCTGAAACCTTGTTTGGGTTGTTCGATATGTCTTCTATAGGAAAATTATTCTTCAATTCAACTTCAACAGATAGTTGAACAGAAGCACCCATATCTGTCCCTTCATCACTAGCATTGCGTGATCTTAGTATCTGCATCAGCCGAAGAGATTGTATGTGAGGTACTATATTGGAATTTAAACAATGTTCTTCACTGGGAAATAACAACATATTTTGCTTAACTGTAGGTAACAGCAAGATAAAGAATGCACAGAACTGACCTCTGCCTCTGGACATCTCTCCATCGATCTTATGTCTGTAATGGACTGTGAATCTTCACAACCAGATAATACATATTTTTGCATTGAGATAGGTGTCTGAGTTAATTGAGACTTTGAAATGCTCGAGGAAAATATATGCTAAACAAGGCAGCAAAAAGTATTAGCAACATGAATTCCTGATACTTTAATTCACTGAAAAAAATTAAAAGCACAATATACCTCTGGCTTACAGTCAGAAGATGGAGATGGTGGCCCTGGTGTCAGTGGTGGGGATCCTAGATGAGCTTCAGCGACGTGTCTCTCAGCCCTTTCATTGCAAATCTGAAGATGCAAGGTAACCAACTCCTCTTCTAGATTTGAAACAGTGGTCTCCAGTGTGGCTATGCTGTGTAGAAGTTCCTGAATCTGAAAACATTGAAGTTGACAAAATACATAGAAGTCCTTAAAAGTGTAGAATCTGATTGTTTCATATACCAGAGCCATCTAAAAGTAAATGAAATGGCATGCTGAAGGTTACCTCATCTGGAATGTTATCAGTAGAGTTCAACAAAGGGGCAGCATTTTTAGCCAAAGCATTTGCCAAAACCTCATGGAGATTGATCTCCTCTTGTAGCTGCTTTTGTAATATCTGAACCTGTGTTATTTCAGCATGTCATAGGAGTCATCCTGTTATAAAGATGAAAATTGGAATGCATATACAGACAGAGGCTACGATCCAAATAAAACGAAAAGAATGATCTGGCATCTATTTGTATGTGGAAGATACATACAATACAAAGTTTTCCTTTTGGTTATATCCATACAAAAAGAAAAAAAATGCAACAATTAGGCAACTAAACAGTAATTCTCTAAAATTATAGTATTATTTAGTCTTTCATTTCTTGGTATGATGCACCAGAATAAGAATGAGGATACTGGGAGAACTACTTGATTAAAAAGGAAAATAAATAGCTTTTGTATCTCAATTCACCAACGAGGTTAAGCCATTAGTCATTACAAACTAAGATCCACCTTATTCTACCAATAAGACATCAAAAGAAATCTATTATTTCTCAGTTTATGGTCCATCTAAGAGCTTGACACAATAGATTCAGTAACATTCATTGTCGTGAACTAAGCCCAATTTATCCTTAGGAACAACATAGCATCTTTAAGTTCTCACTACATTGTAATGATCAACTTCCGAAGCACCCTATTATCAAAAGTCAGCATCTCTTAGATTAGTCTACAAATCGATGGCCTAAAATCTTTGAGGAGCCCAATTCTTCCATGGAACACTGAAACAGACGGAAGAAGAACACCACCAAATGCACTTACTTCTTGTTCGAGCTGCGATCTGTAACAGCACACCTTCCGACGCCTCTCTTCTCTTCCACCACAACTGCTCTTCTCATCCTGACAGATATCAGCATTTATCAAACAAGAAAGAGCAAAGAGAACAGCATCTGGATCGAAGGAAGAAGACAAACCTCCATGCCGGACGAGGACGCGGATGGATCCGAGCGGTGCGGGCTCTTCCCACCACCCCTCCCAACCTTATGCATCAGTCTCCGGATCGACCTCCCACTGTGAAACAGGGGGGTGGGGGGGGGGGGGGTTATGCCAAGGCGCACAAGAGAACAAGCAGAAGAAACCAAGTCACAGGGAGAGACGAGAGAAAAGAGAGGTCTCACAGATTCACGGGCGGGATAGCGCCACTGGAAGAGTACATCTCGTCACCCAAAGCCTCTGCCTTGAGGCACAGCATGTCTTCCTTATCGACCACCACCACAGCTCACTCAACTCCGACTTCTTCTCTCTCTCTTTCTCTCTGTGTGGCACTGAAATAGGTGATTATAGAGCAAAGCGAAGTGTGCAGTCACTTGTGTCGGACTGTACACCAACAGCAAAAAGGAAGAGCGGTAGAGGTGTTACAATGATGGAAGGGAAGTGCCACTACTGCTGGTGGTGAGAGGAGGAATGGTGAATAGAATAGAGGCGGAGAACCTGACAGGTCATGTTGACCCTTCTTTTTCATCTTTGGTTCTCTTTGCTTACTGGTTGTGAGAGAGAGAGAGAGAGAGAGTTGGGATCCCCGCATGCAGGGTGGCCTTTATTCCCACTTTATTAAAGCAGTACAACTCTTTGGATTCTCCCAATTGTCATAAAAATTAATAAGTAATTTCATAAAAAAAATAATGTTGGGGTTTGATGTCATTGGTCACCTTATTTATTTCCAATCCTGGGGTGATAAAAGATTGCATAGGTTGAATCTCTGTATTTTGTCATCTATGATGCTCAACTCAGTATTTATTGATATGGGTGAAAAAACACTTTAGGATTTCAGAATAAATTGTAGCTCTTATTTATAGTATTTATATAAATGTTGTTGAATATGGATAATTATTATATCATGATCACATTCTTATTGATTGGGCTTGGTGTGTTTAATTGAGATTGAATATGGATAATTATCATATCATTTGCTCTTTATTGTGATTCAAGAAAAAAACTTTTCATTGGTGAAATACAAGATTATTGTTTTAGAAAATCAACAATTATTGTTTATATTAAATAGATAATTAATTATTCCTCATTGTGCTTGTGGGAAAGGATTAGCCAGGGGTGAAGTGCAATATTGTCCCGCATCAAATAGATAATTAATTGTTTCTCACTGTACCCAACAAATATTGTTGGCATTAAATAGGTAAGAGATGTTATAGATGCTTTTGTGCAAGATAAATATATCTAAAGAATTTACTGCAAAAAGAATGATGGTTTTAGAGGTAATGTATATTTATATAAATTTGAGAAAGATATTTTTCTGCTTAAATCATACACATATATTATGGTGATTGATTTTTGAATCATAGATTTATTAAGGATTAGAATATATAAACAAATATAAATTTATCATTTCATATTTACCCCTATCATGCTCTCGTAGAATTGAGCTTCCGTCAAATATACTAATATTAGAATGATATAATTGAAATACTATAAGAGTAAGAGATTTTGTGAGGAGTCAACAAGTTGGTTAGAAGTATGGACGTGATAAACATGTTACACAACTTGATGGCAACTTGGAAGTCAATAGCAATGTGTTTATATGCAAAAGTGGAACATCGAGTTGGGGCATAAGTAATATTGACATTATCATAGTATATTATTGGAGTATATTGGGAGGTGATGTTAAGTATAGTAGATTGGTGATCAAGTTGAATTCTAAAACAATGGTGGTGATGAGTCAATATTTAGCTTCGTGGTGAATTTTACAATTACGTTCTATTTTGTAGAACTCTAATTGATCATGTTTGCTCCAAAGAAGATAATGTAGACTGATGTACATGTTCTATCATTAGTTTTTCTTGCTCAATTAATATCGACGAAGGTAAGAAAATGAAATGATGAGTGAATACAAAGAAGAAATCTATGATTAAGAATCTTTTTAAAATATTGCACGATATATTTTAGAATTGATCAATGCATATTTGAGGATCGATGTATGAATTATGATAATTTGTTAATTATAAATAAAATATTTAGATATATAAGAGATAAATATTACAAGGAACTAAGTACTTATTAGTAGTATGTGGAATCCGTAACAATGATACCATTAGATAATTTGAGTAATTCAATAGAGTAGAGTGGGGTGACAACTACTTAGACATTTTGTATATCCATTTTTCATAATGAATCTCAAATGTACTTTTGAGACAAGGGAAGTCAAGAATATTTTGCATTCATACAACCAATGCATATTTATATAAATTTAAAAAAGATATTTTTCTCAATCTTCTCGCTCAAATCATGGACACATATCATGTTGTTGATTTTCATTTAAGGATGAAAACATATAAGAAATATAAATTTCTTGTTCCATATTTATTTTTATCATGCCCCTACAAAATTGAGCTTCCGTAAAAAATGTTAATCTTAGAATGATGTAATTGAAATACTCGACAAGTGATTAATTTTTTGGAGTCAACTAGTTAGTTAGAAGTACGAACATGAGAAATACGAAGTACGAACATGAGAAATACGCAGTATAACATCACATAACTTGATCAATGATAAAACGAAAGTCAATAAAAATATGTTTCCAGAAGAGAGTGAGAAACCAAGTAAGAGTGTAAGTAGGTGGTACTGACATCATCATAATATTAATAAATTGTAATATTAATAAATTGTTAGAGTAACTTGAAAGATAATATTAAGTTCATGTTGCAAGACTAATATATGTGAATGTGTGTAAATATATCAATTCAAATTTGTCGATAATATTTCGTTATATACAAAATATGTTTATACAACAACCATAATATATCAACCAACAAGTCTTGCCGAACAATCATAATAGCTTTTCGCTACCTCAGCCAAATTCAAAT